CCCACTCACCTCTGCTGCTCCTCTTCCAGTCGGATCAGGGCGTTCTCCAACTCGTTGCTGCTCTCCTCCTCCAGCTGGGAGCTGCTGGCATCCAGTTGGCTCTGTGGGGACATCGCTTGACGTCACCCCAGTTTGGGGATGGGGGGGTCCAGGGCAGGGGACTCCCCTCTAAAGCCAGCACTCACCGTCAGCCTCTCCTGCTCCAGCTCCGTCGCCTTCTCCAGGAGCTGCTGCTCCACTTCGCCGCATTTCTTCTTGTACTGCAGCACCTGGGAGGAGGGGACAGGGTGGGTGATAGCAGGGGCGGGTGACACTGACAGGTGGCCTCTGAAATGTTGGAAGGACCTCTGGCGATCACCCAGTCCAACCCCTGCTGGAGCAGGGTCATCCAGAGATCACCCAGGAACACATCCAGGGTTTGAATGTCTCCAGAGAAGGAGACTCCACAACCTCTCTGGGCAGCCTGGGCCATGGCTCTGTCACCCTCACAGTAAAGAAGTTTTTCCTTATGTTGAGGTTGAACCTCCTGTGTTCCAGTTTGTGATCACTGCCTCTTGTCCTGAGAAGGGTCTGGTCCTATCCTGACCCCCACCCTTGAGATATTGATGAGCATTAATGAGATCCCCCTCAGCCTCCTCTTCTCCAGGGTGAACAGCTCCAGCTCCCTCAGTCTTTTTTTCATGTAGGAGATGCTCCAGTCCCCTCATCACCTCAGTGGCTCCACACTAGGCTCTCTCCAGTTGTTCCTTGTCCTTGTTGATCTGGGGAACCCAGAATTGGACCCAGTTTTCCAGATGTGGCCACACAAGGGCAGAGCAGAACCTCCTGGCCACACCAGGACACCATCGGTCTTCTTGGCCATGAGGGCATGTTGGTGACTACTGCTTCACTAGGAACCCCAGGCCCTTCTTCCCCATCCTGTACAGATCCATGGCGTTGTTCTTCTCCCTCCTTACCTTGGCCTGGAGCTTCTGCACCAGCTGGGCCTGGCGCTGCTGGCCCTCCTGGTAGGCCTGCAGCTTGCGCTTGTAGGCCGCCTGCTCCTCCTCCAGCAGCCGCCGCAGCTCGATGTTGTGCTGCGCCAGGCTCCGGCTCTCCACTGCCTCCCGCTCGCCCGCCTCCAGCCGCAGGCTGTGCTCCAACTGGGATGGGATGGGATGGGAGATACTGGGACACCCCCACCCACTGGGGTGCTAAACCCCCTCAGCACCCACTGAGTGCCTGCTGACTTCCATTATAATACCCTGTCCCCAACACAGTCAGGGCTTTGGGGGAGTCCTACAGCAAACCCCCGCACAGCCAAGGCTAAACCCTCCCAAATTTTGGATCTTTGCATGCACAGTTTGAGGATGAATAGGAAAATCTGGAGACGTTCTTAAAAATAACTCAACTTTTAATCTGGGGGTTCAGCCCATCCTCACTTGCACAGGATCAGTGATGGGTAAAGCTCCCTCAGGCTCAGCGACGGCCATTCCCCTCGGCGTATTTTCCTAATATTTCCCTTTATTTTTTGGTAAATAAACAGGCACAGAGAGGCTGCACCCCCAGAAACCCCACAGCCCCTTGATTCGCGTCCCCACATTCAGCACTTGCCCACTGCCCAAAGCCCTTATTAATTCCCCTGTTGCCACGGCAAAGGGATGCAAAGGCAAGGGACGCCAACATGGGGGGTCCCTGCTTCCCAAAAAGCAGCGAGACAAAGAAAATAAAGTTAAATAGGGATTGGGGGGGGCAGTGCTTTGTGCATGCCACAGGACAAGCCTTGGCAGGCCAGGACAGGACAAGGCAAGTTGGATGCACGGCATCAAAATTCTTGTTGCTGGCATGCTGCAAGATGCCGCAGCATCTCCTGCTCCAAGCACAGGGAATGTGAAGGTTACAAGCTTCAATTTTGGAGTTAAACTGGGTGGGTTTGGGGTAACTCACCCGCTCGCTGATGGCGTTGTACTTGATGGCCAACTCATCGCGCTCGGCCCGGCTCTGAGCCAGCAAATCCTCGACGCGCGACAGCTCCTGCTGCAGGATGCGGTTCTCCTCCTGCAGGGAGGGCAGCGAGGCCATGGCCCCTGCTGCGGGACGGGACAGCACCCGGCTCAGGGTGGCTCCGAAAAGCAGTGGGATCAGGTCCCGGGATAGGAATTCGGCTCCAGGATGGAGCCAAGATGCCCTTTACAGCCAAGAGCTGCTTTGTTCCTGCCTGGGCTGGGCCTCCCCCACATCCTCAGCCGAGGCCATGAAAAGCATTTTTGCCTCCAAGCGATGTAGTTTGCAGCAGCGAAACTGCTGCTGATTTACTTGCAGCTGTGAGACCATCACAAATTTGTGCTTGCAATAGCAAAACAGGAACAAAACTACTTGCAAATGTGTTTGCAGTGGCAAAACTGCTGCATATTTGCATTTGCGATCATGAGATCATGAGATCACTGAGCATTTGCAATGGCAAAACAGTGGCAAAACTGCTGCAGATTTGAAGTTGTGACCACAAGACTCCTGGAAGTTTACAGCTGCAGTCACAAAAGCCCTGCAAATTTGTAGTTGGATCACAAGAGCGCAGCAAATCTGTGCTTGGAACCGCAAAACCGCTGCAAATTTGCAGCTGAGATGGCAAGACTGTGGCAGAATTGCATTTGCAACTGCAAGAGCGCTGCAGGTCTGCAGCTGTGATCACAAAACTGCTGCAAACTTGTAGCTGCAATTGCAAAACCACCACAGATTTATTCTTGTGATCACAAAACCACTGCAAGTGTTTTATTGCAATCATAAAACTGCCAGAGTTACACTATACTACTGCAACCACAAAACTGCTGCAGAATTGCATTTGCAATTGCAAGACGACCACAGATTTGCAGCTGCGATCACAAGAGCACTGCAAATTTCTAGTTGCAATCACCAAACCGCTACAATTTATGTTTGCAATACAAAAAGTCTGCAAATCTGTGCTTGTGAGCACAAAACCGCTGTAGATTTATAGTTGCCATCACACAACTGCTGCAGATGTGCAGCTGCAATCGCAAAACTGCTGGGAATTTCTGTTTACGGTCACAAAACCATTGCAGATTTATAGCTGCCATCACAAAACCTCTGCAGATTTATGTTTACAGACACAGAAAGTCTGCAGATCTGTGCTCATGAGCGCAAAACTGCTGCAGATTTATAGTTGCCATCGCAAAACCGCTGCAGATGTGCAGTTGCTATCGCAAAACTCCCGGGAAATTTCTGTCTCCGACCACAAAACCGCTGCACTTTTACGTTTGCAGTCCCCAAACCAGCGCGAATTCGCAGCTGCCACCACCGAACCACCGCACGTTGTCCCTTTGCACCCCCCAAAGTCCCATCCCCGCTCGCAAACCCCGCTGCCCAAGTCCTAAATTCGCAGCCCCCCTCCTCTGTGGCCGCGACACCGCCCCCCAGTTCCCACTACGGGGGATGGGGGGCGCAACACCCACCTCAACCCCGGCCTCCGTGGGCCCCGCTGCGCTCATGGGCTCCCCGGGGGGGTCCGCCGAGCCCCCACGCCGCGGCCTTTTGGCTCCCGAGGCCCTCGCCGGGAT